CAAACAAACCCTCATGTACATATTCAAGTAAGTGTTCCTGTTAAAGGTGTCCCCGGTAGCAAGCTTTGCTTATGTTAACTCTCTTTTCTAACCAAATATTGGGAAATGTCGTGTGGCAAGTAGGAGTGCTCTTATGGGGGTAAAGGGACAGTCTATTTAATATTAAAGCTCTCCAAGAAAACCTGAGATATGTGATCCTCATAGCTACAGGGGGCCCAGACAGCATTTGGGACAATGGTCATAACACTGTTGGAAATACACAAATAAATGACCCCCAGAGAGAGGGTTTTATCTGCAACATACATATTTTCCTGGAGGAAAAGATCCATGTCTCTAATCCACCTTCCCTGACCTCATAAACTCTAGTTAAATGCTTTGCACATCAAAGGTGTTCAATAAATATTTGAGGGATGTTTGTCCTACCCTATCACAATACTTATATTTATTATTCAGAAAATAAACCACGGAGTCCGTATTTTCAATGGAAATAAATCTTTCACTCCTAGTTTTGTTATCTTTCCTTTCCGGTATTGTTTCTCCTACTTATTCGTATGACTAACAGCCAATAAACCATCATTCAGCAAACATTTATTGAGAAATGACTGATAGCAAGCCCTGGAGAAATCTGGAAATTCCACGGATGTTCTTAGTGTCCATACAGAAGCTCAGGGCCAAAGGTATTGTGCAGGCTTCTACATCAGCATGATTTGGTCAGCTTTTTACTTTCAAAGAACGCAGACTCTCTCATGTTACCCCAGGAAAGAGAGTTATTACAAGGACCCTTGGAACTGAAATATGATCACACTCTCCCAGTCTCTTTCCCCTAATGGTCTTTCTGTTTATCTTGATAAGTCTGTTCTATTCTTTCTCCATAACCAAATTTCTCTGCTTCCTCATAACTTAGAGGATGCATGGCCTATTGCAGTGTATTAGTCAAGGAAAGCTAGTTATGCTTCAGTAACCCCCGACTTCAGTGGCCTAAAATAGCAAAGGTTTATATCTCACTTTGGCTACATATCCACCAAGGGTTAGTTGGGGAGAGGGGGAATTCCTCTTATCATAGCTACTTGGGAACCCAGAATGCCAGAGCAGTGACAGTCTTGAAAAAGGAACATGAAGAGAGGCATGTGGCCTTAAAGTGTCCACCATATGTCACTTCTGCTCACATTTCCTTGGCCAAAACAAATCACTGACCACAACTAACTTAACTGGGTGGAGATGTATAATCCTACCAAGACCCTGATTGGAGAGAAAGCCCAAATATGCATAAATAGCCTTAATCACCCTCATTTAAGACATCTCTAGCCCAAGACTGCAAACCCCTTTTGTTTCAGCAGCCACAGCTAATGATTCACATTTTCCATGTTCCTTCGTTCAAAGTGCAGTGAGAGAGAAGCTGAGTATCCCAGTCCCTCTGTCTGACAGGCTGCAACCTAGGTCCCTGGTTAGCCTATGGATCTGTCTTTGAGTCATGGCCAATCAGCTGGGAACAGGGATATACACTGTAGCACGTGGCCGTCCAGCCCAGTCCTTTTGATCCTCTCCAGCCACCAGGAGACCTGCCCAGTATGGAAGATATTGTTTGAGTTAAGTCATGATGTTTGCTTGTCCTCGCTCTTGATGACAGAGAGGTCATGGATGTGCAGTCCATCAAGCTGGGTGGGGTCTGGCTGTCAGGCTGTTTATGGAGCAAACTCTCAACAGCGGTGAAATGGAAATTACTGAGCCCAGGGACCTGCTATGTTAACCCATCAGTCTAGGGATAATGATGTGGTACTATGGGATTTTAAAAAATTGGCTCTGTGTGGCTCTATTTCCACACTTGGACACCCCAGTCTTCCTCCTCTGCACATAGACTTAGGTGGGAGGTGCAGGGAGGGGAACAGAAGTGATTGGCTTCAACCCACACAAGAAGACCTGAATATGTGAACCCTGAAATTCAAGTCCCATATGCCCCCCATCTATCTTTCCAGTCTCATGTCCCAGTTCACCCTCCAAATAAACCTACTGTCCAACCACCGTCAAACATGCCTTGTTTTTCTCTCAGCTCATACAATACCCTTCTCTTTAACTGCTACCCTTCCTCTAAAATCAGTTTGGTTTTTTTTTTTTAAGATTTTATTTATTTATTTGAGAGTGAGAGCGAAAGAGCACAAGCAGGGGGGGCGGCAGAGGGAGAAGGAGAAGCAGGCTCCCCACTGAGCAGGGAGCCCAATGCGGGACTTGATCCCAGGACCCTGAGATCATGACCCGAGCCAAAGGCAGATGCCTAACCGGCTGAGTCACCCAGGTGCCCCTCTAAAATCAGTTAAAGGGGCGCCTGGGTGGCTCAGTCGTTAAGCGTCTGCCTTCAGCTCAGGTCATGATCCCAGGGTCCTGGGATCGAGCCCCGCATCGGGCTCCCTGCTCAGCGGGAAGCCTGCTTCTCCCTCTCCCACTCCCCCGCTTGTGTTCCCTCTCTCGCTGTGTCTCTCTCTGTCAAATAAATAAAATCTTAAAAAAAAAAAAAAAAACTTGTTTAAAAAAAAATAATAAAATAAATAAAATAAAATCAGTTAAAAAACCAGCACTTTAGGGGCGCCTGGGTGGCTCAGTCGGTTAAGCGTCTGCCTTCGGCTCAGGTCATGATCCTGGGGTCCTGGGATCAAACCCCGCCTGCCTCTCTGCCTACTTATGCTCTCTCTGTCAAATAAATAAAATCTTTAGAATAAATAAAATAAAATAATTTTAAAAATGAAAACCACCACTTTTCAGAAAAGTTTTTTTCTGTCTGCTATGATCTGTGGTCATTTCTAGATCTTCCTCCTCTGAATTCTTCTACCCCTGCTCATGCTGAACACCTGGAGGGCATGAACATGTCTTACTCATTTTGGAATCCCAGAGCTTAGTGCCTGCCTAGAATATTGGAGGTGCTCACCAACAGTGTGTTTAATGAATTATCTGTAGCACCAGACATTTAAGGAAACTTTAACGAGATCCTCTGCTCTATTAGGCACAGTGGAGGAAAGTCCGTAATATACGATCTCTCCAGGAGTTTCCTTAGTTTGGTTGCCTGGGTTCATAGATGAGAAAATTGAGTCCCAGAGAGGAGAAATGATTTGCCTTCTGCCACCCAAACAGCCACTATCGACCGAGCACTTTGCTATGTGCTAGACAAATGCCTTTCACTCTTTATCTCATTTTCATCCTTGTGACAACGCTAAGAAGGAAGACTTCGTACACCTACTTTTACAGAAGAGAAAACGGGGGCTTAAAGGGGTTGTAACCTGACTAAGGCCACACTTCAAGGAGGTAGCCAGGCCAGGTTTGGAATCTGCAGTCTAACTCCTGAGTCCCTACTCTTGCCCCCTGTGCTGAGCTCCAAGCTAGGGAGTCAGCTCCCTGTGGTCCATGCATCTGTCTATTGCCCAGAGGCCTTCAACCTTTTCTGTGCTCCAGTGGCTGGGTTGACATAGGGTGATTACAGGGTCTTGGTGAAGTTCTGTGCCAGGCAGCTCCTATGCACACAGGTCTAATGTTCTGATCATTAGGTCAGGGTATTTTTTCCCGCCTGGGCAGTTGGGTTAGTGGAAGAAACCTGATAAAATCCTGGAGAGGAACTTGATCATTCTCTGAAGAACTTACAAGTTGTTTGGCCTGCCTAATCTGCTCAGAAACCGTCTGGGGAATATTCGGTATCCATGTAGTACAGGTTGTGAATTACTCTGCGGAGACTGTTAACAAGACCCTCACCAACTCTGCCTCGCCAGTGTCAGACGGCCCTAGGACAGCCCCAGGACAGCCCCCTTTCTTCCCCTCCCACCAAAGCCCTGAAAAGAATAGGGTTTTCCCTCTTGGGGGCTGGGAGGAGTGAGAGATGGAAGGGAAATTCTCCTGCCTCCAAGCAGAGCTCACTATACACAGCTGGACCTGATCCCTCCTCGGAGCTATGGCCATGGATACAATGACTTAGCTGGGATAACACTTAGCCAGCGTTTTGGCAACCTGGTATCTGAGCACCTAAACATGGAAAGAGGCCAACTCCCTAAAATCAGTGCAAGGATAATGACAAAGAGTTAGATCTGGAGGCACCTCAGGGATCATCTACCCCCTGGATTTAAAAAGATACTGAAGCTAAATTACTTGACAAGGTCACACAGCTGCAGGTGATAGAGACTGAAAACCATGGTGCCTGAGTCTAAGTTCAAAGTTCTTTCTCCTTAAACTCCCACCCACCCACCTACACACCAACACACACAGCCTACCCTTTGCCATACCACCACACACAGGCACATGCACAACTAAGCCAACTAGGTGCTGTGTCCCTAAAGTCTTTGACTGTCCCTCCCCTGGGGAGAAGGGCACACAGAAGACATTCCCAGACATCCTGACCCGCACCAGCAGGAAAGTCTCAGGAGGGGTCCCTAGGTCTTCCTCTCAACTCTCCCTTCCCTCCTCCAGAGAGGGAGCACCCAGATGACACCTGGCAAGCTGAGAGCTGCGGGGGAAGTACACGGGGCGGGTGCGGGGAACACGCAGGCCTGGGGCCGGGCCCGGCGGCTGCTGGCGGCCCCCCTGGGCCAGATGCTGAGAGCGCGGGCGTCTGGCGGCTCCCCCGGGCGACGCGCACCCACCACCTGCCCAGCTCTCCCGGCCTCCTGGGGCTCGGGAGGGCCCGGCTGGGGACCCTGACGGCCCGGCGTGGGCCCCGGGAGGAGGGGGCGCGGCGGGCACAGGGCAGAGGTCAGCGCCTCGGCCCGACTGGGCCCTAGCGAGGCCCCGGCGCCCTGTCCCTGGCGCACAGGTTTGGAAACAGGGCGGCCTCGCCCGGCCGCCGCCTCGGCGGCTCCGGTCCCCATATATAGTCATATCCACCGTCAACTGGGAGGCCGGCAGGCGGCAGCGAATGGGCGCGCGGCCCCCGCGGGAAGGAGCGGGGAGGGGGGAGGGGGCGGAGGGAGGAGGGGGGAAGGGGGCAGGAGAAAAAAGCTTTTCCAAAAAAGTATTGGCTGTCTCGAGGAATGCGGTCGCCCCCTTGGGAAAGTACATATCTGGGAGCAGCAGGCGGCTCCGCGCTCGCACTCCGGCTCGGCCGCCCCACCGCGCGCTCGCCTCGCCGCTCCCGCCGCAGCCCCAGGGCCCCTCGCCGCCGCCACCATGGACGCCATCAAGAAGAAGATGCAGATGCTCAAGCTCGACAAGGAGAACGCCTTGGATCGAGCCGAGCAGGCGGAAGCCGATAAGAAGGCGGCGGAGGACAGAAGCAAGCAGGTCTGCGCCTCCCTGGCCCTGCGCCCGCCCGGGTGCCCCCGAGCCCTGGGCGCCTGGCACCCCTTCCCGGCCGCTCACCCCGAGGACGGGGGCGAGCCGCCCCCCACTCCTGGGCCACCAGGGTCGCGCAACTGAGAAGGGAGAGGGGAAGAGCAAGACTCGGGCTTATTCTAACTTTTTGGTCTCGTCTGGGGACCTTTATTTCCCTCCTCTACTTCCCAGAGCCCGCGAAGTCAACTCAAGTCCTAGGAGGCACTTGATTCTCAGGATCGGGGGTCAATGTTGGATGGGGGGGGGATGGTTTGAGGGGAATCGAGTCCAGCAAGTGTTAGATATTCTTCTGGACTTTTGACTGGAAAGAATAAAACTGGGATAGAGACTGAGCGGGGGGCGGGGGGGGGGAGGGCAGTCTTGAAGTTTTTTCCTAAGAACAAAGATGGGACAGAATAGAGAGTACGGCCCGAAGGCCAGGGAGACAGGGGCGTTTTTCTGCACCCCCAGTTGTGGACTTGAGCCCGCTGAGGCCTCGGCAGGAGCCTCGTCCCGCGGGAGGTGGGGGTGCAGGGTGGGCCACAGTGCGGTTCCAGCTTCGGGAGAGAAGAGGTTACCTAGAGACCTTGAACCCCAAGTCGGCGGCGCCCCAAGCCGAGGGGCCCCAGCCAACCAGGCGCTCGTGTGTTGTGTGTGTGTCTAACACCCGGTCCGTGCCGGCCGCCCGCGCCCGCCCGCCGCTGCCCCCCAGTTCGAGGAGGACATCGCGGCGAAGGAGAAGCTGCTGCGGGCGTCGGAGGACGAGCGGGACCGGGTGCTGGAGGAGCTGCACAAGGCGGAGGACAGCCTCCTGGCCGCGGATGAGGCCGCCGCCAAGGTACCCGGGGCGCGCGGCGTGGCGCGGCGCACGAATGGCTAACTCTGTCTCTCTCTTTCTCTCTCCCTCCCTGTCTTTCCCTCTCTCTCTCTCCCGCTGTCCCTGTCCTTCTGGTTCTGTGCACCCACACCCCTCCCCTGCGGGATCACGCTGCCTGCTGCACCCCACCCCCACCCCGCCCCGTCCCCCACGGCCAACTCCCAGCTGGAAGATGAGCTGGTGTCGCTGCAAAAGAAACTCAAGGGCACTGAAGATGAACTGGACAAATACTCCGAGGCTCTCAAAGATGCCCAGGAGAAGTTGGAGCTGGCGGAGAAAAAGGCCACCGACGTAAGTGCACTCACACCACCTCCCTCACCTCCTGCCCGGTGGCCACTCTGCGGTCACCACAGTGGCCAAGGAGCAATGGAGGAGGGTCACCTCCTCCTGCTGGACACCCGCACACAGCCCTGACATGGCCCAGAGCACTGGATGCTGCCTCAGACTTCTATTGCACACATTTATATTTCATCCACTCCTCTTTTTCTCCTTCTTTCCCCCACTCCTGGGGGTGGAGGTGGGCGGGTGAAAAGCTGGGAGTGGAGTGGCTGAAATTGGATGCTGGAGGTGAACCTTGCCTCCCTGGTGGCAGAAAACCTCTGAGGTGTCATCACCAAGGTTTGTGCAAACAGAATGCCTGGTTTTCTTTACCTTCTTTACTTTGCCACCTTAGGTGGGTGGGAATGCCTGGTTTTCCATGGTGAGTCTAATCAGGGTACAGAGGACCTGGCCTCTAAATTGAAGGAATGGCATGGTGCTTTTACTTAGAAGGCTGAGCTTGATGTTGGAGTGCAGAGACCCCTGAAGCTTCCTTTCTCACTAGGGAAGCCTTAATCCAGCCCTTAAGATCTGCCTGGGAAGATGATACTTGCTTGGGTCTGCAGTCTGACAGCACTAGATCCTGAAAGTACCCTGGGAGTTATATATAGCTCAGTGCTTTATATGGTATAGTGAGCTAACTGCCCCCTGCCCCTCCTGCTTGCCCCACCCCCACCTGTCAGCCTTCTGACAACCACCACATAGTTTCAGGGGTGATGCACATACTGCAAAAACTCTACCAGCACTTTGTCCACTGCACTTTGGAATCTTTTTCACTGAAGAGCCTGCCTCTTCTGCCCCATAAGTCAAGCCAAGCATCAGATTTCCAAAGGAACGACTTCTTTTCATACTGTTGGATTCCATTGTAGAAGCTCATTAAGGCTAGAGGCCCAATTAGGAAAGAATTCCTTGGGAAGTTAGTAACAATTCCAAGAATGTATGAGCACCGGGGAAAGCTGTGCCCAGAAGTTGAACTACCAAGCACAAAGGCAGAATTTCTTGTATGAGAGTACAATGCAAATTGCTGGAGGGTCTTGGGTCTTGAAACCAGTAAAGGCTTTTTGTGGCTTGAAAGGCTTAAAATGTAATCTCCAAGCATGCTTTGTAAATGAGAAATCCAGACATAGGACATTTAGAATAGACAAAAATATTTCAATGACCGTCAAGATTATTGGAAAGGGGTTCACAGAAGCACTGACTTAGCTAAAACATTAAAGTTACAAACTACCTGGCTTTAGAAAAAGAGCCAAAAACACACATAACTCTGCGCCTGCTTTGTATAATGTAGATCAGATGTCTGCTCCGTATAAGGTTAAATGGAGGATGTCTGTCTCCCCCAAATTCTCCAGCAGGACGTTTATTTAGCTTTTTCAAAAGAGCCGCTGATAGATCAAGGAGAGATATTCCTTATAAGGAAAAGAATGCAGAGAATTTGAAAATAGCCCAGTAAGACTGAAGGCAAGAGAAGGAGAAAAAAGCTACTACAATTCTTAAAGGGAAAAAAGATCATAATTATTGTAACTATGTAGTGCTATCATGTCCTTATGAAAAAGTCTTGTTTAAGGGAATGCTGGAATGAGGTGGGGCAGAAGTGGAAATGAGGATATTTAAAGCCACCTTGGTGGGGGCGTGGTTAGCAGGGGAGGGAAATTTTTGAAACTGTTTTGGTTCTTTTTTTTCCTACCGGGAAACTGTCCCTAATATGTTACTTTTCGTTTTGTTTCATTCATTCTTTCTTTCTTTCTTTCTTTCTTTCTTTCTTTCTTTCTTTCTTTCTTTCTTTCTTTCTTTTTTGTAGTATATTGATCGTCTTCCCTTTTAAGACATTTTAGGTTGTTTGGAACCTGTAGGGATGTTGAAGAACATTTGCGAAGAATTGCTATATTTAAAGTGATTCCTAACTAGTAAAAATAGCCAAGACTTAAGGAGAAAGAGACTGATATCACTAGAGAAAGAGGGAGGTAGGTCAGCTTCCTGAGGTAGCTTCATACTACATTTGGAATGAGGATACTTTACTGTCATTACTCACCGGTGTAAAAACATTTTCATTTTTTCCTACTACTAAAAACGTTTTTCTACTTATTTACCAACATACTTTACAAATTTTATTCCAGAAGGAGGGGGTCTTCCTAGCTTGAAAGATTGTAATTCACAAGGTAGCACCCTGGTGGTTTTGGTGTGAAATTTTTGGTGTTCCACCTAAATGAGCCTGAAGGGGATCAAAGGCTCCATTTTCTCTCTGGCCCCCCACTCCTTCCCCAATAATTGTGATGTATCTAATATTTGCAGTATGTGAGTCTTTATTCCTTGTAAGTCTTTGCTTCCTAAATCAGTAATTCTCAACCTTACGTAAACAGAATCTCCTAGGGAGGTTTTAAAACCCCTAATCCAGGCTGCACCCCAGGTCAATTAAATCAGAACCTCTGGGAGTGGAACCCACGCATTAGTATTTTTTAAATGTGAAGCCAAGGTTGAGAACTGCCCTAAACTCTTGTATAATGACATCAGCATGAAAATGAACTCACCTGAAACTGTCTTTCCCAGGTGTTTGAAAAGCAGGACGTTAAGTCATTAGTTGGCTGCCAAGAGCACTTGCAAGTGTCCAGCAGTTTCCCTGACTCCTCCTGGAGGCCCCCAGACGCCCCCTTCCTCCACCTTCAAAGTTGGAGGCCCACAGTCTGTACTCCTCTAGGGGAGGAGTTGTAACCTCCCTCCTGACCAGATGAACTGTGTGGAAACAAAGCCAGAGGCTCCACCTACAGGACGTGAGGGCACATGCTGAGGTTTGTGAGAGTCTCAGCAGAGACTGCTACAAAGTCCAAAGAAAATGAGTGGGGGAAAGCAAAGGAGGAGGGTCGTTGTTAGGGCTTTGGAGGGGGAGGGAGGTATCAAGTATATTTTTTATCCTTCATTATTCCCACACTTAAACACATCAGAAATTGACTTGAAGGGCCTCCTGTGAGAAAGGTGAGGAAGAGAGCCGTGAGACTTAAAAGGCATTTAAAAATGGAGCCCAGTGGGAGAATTGGCAGAGGACGGTTCCCAGAGATTGGGTTTTCATCCAACTGTAGCCAGAGGCTCTGAGGGTTCTGTAGCCTTCACGGCTGTGCCTTTTTAAAGGCATCTCAGTCCAGCCCAGAATTGGTCAGATTCCAGAAGATCTCTGAGGCTGATCTAAAACCAGAGAAGTTTGTAAGTATAAGGGACCCTCGAGATGATTGTTTTTATGGAAAGAAAAGTGAGCCCCAAAGAGGCTCGGGGCCCTGAGAACACAGCTGGTTATGCGCCCCCGCCTGACTCTTAAGACAGTGCCTGCATCTATATCACTAAAGCGATCATTTAACTATGTACAATGTATTGTGCTAAGTGCTTTGTATGATTTCATAATCCTCGCCACAGCCCTATGAGGAAAGTACCACTATTAACCCCACTTTTATAGATGAAGCCCATAAAAGTCCAGTTATTTGACCAAAGTCAACAGCCAGGAGAGATCTAGGAGCCGGATTCTAACCTAGGAAAGCTGCATTTAGAAGGTTTAATCACAATGCAATATGTTAGTGGCTTCCACTTCGCGAGTTTGGTGAGGGAGGAAGGTTGTGGTGGTTAGGCTCTTGAGTGCTGGGGTTCTTTAGGTCCCTCTGGGGACACATTCAGGCCCCAAACCCCTCGCTCAGCTTCTCTCCTCCGGCTTGGGAATCCAGAACTCCCGAGTGCGATGATCCCGCCGCCAGTAGGCGGCACCGTCGCCCTTAACAGCCAGGTCCGTTACCCTGGGTCAACGCGGAGCCAGGGAGGGGCGCTGGGAGTCCAAGTAAAATCCCTGGCACGCTGGCCTACCACCCGGCCGTGCCCAGCTCTCCAGGTGTCCCTCAGCGCACCCACCGCCTCCACCCGCCCGGATGCCGCGAGCATGCGCAGTATCTCCCCGCTTTGCAAATTCCCGGGGTCCGCGGCGCGCGCCCCGCCCCGCCCGCTGCGCCCGCCCCCGGCACTCGCGCACCCGCCTGCGGTTCGCCTGCGCCGCCCGGGAGACCGCCACTTCCGGGCTGGTCCTGGGCCGCTGGGGGCGCCGCCGTTGTACGGCGCGGTGCGGCGCGGCCTGGGCGGGGCGGCTGGGCGCTCAGGAGTGCGGCAGCGGCGGCCGGAGCGCAGCAGCCGGCCTCTCCCACCGCGGCCCGCCGCCGCCGCCGCCCCGAGCGATGGCCGGGAGCAGCTCGCTGGAGGCGGTGCGGAGGAAAATCCGGAGCCTGCAGGAGCAGGCGGACGCCGCGGAGGAGCGCGCGGGCAGCCTGCAGCGCGAGCTTGACTACGAGAGGAAGCTGAGGGAGACCGTAAGGGACCCACCCATCGCCCACCCACCCCCACCCAGAGGCGCCTCCGCCGCAGTCGGGCCCATTGCAAGGAGCAGGGCCCTCCGGAGCCCACCTACCGCTGCCCCCAGGCCTCCGGGGGTGCACCTGGCGCACCTGGGGCAGCTGGCGTCTGGTTCTAGGGAGTGGCCCTGCCTGTTCTTTTCAGCCCTTCCTTTCCATCTTAGCTGGTTTAAAGTAAAAGCTCCGAGGGGAAGCAGGAGTGGTGTTGAGAAGGTTCTGGAAGCAGCACTTTCCCAGAAAGGGCTCTATTTGGGGGTTTTTTTTGCATTT